GGTGGTGGCGATGTTGGTGGATGAACGACTGATGGTGGCGATGTCGGAGGATGAGTGGTTGGCGGCGGCGATGTTGGTGGATGAACAATTGGTGGTGGCGATGTCGGTGGATGAACGGCTGGTGGTGGGGATGTTGGTGGATGAACGGCTGGTGGTGGAGTTGGTGGTCTGACTGGCGGCTCTTCCGGTGAGACCTTAATCACCGGAGGCGGCAAGTTCGAGTTTTTTTTCGATGGGTCACATGGTGGCTTTGGGGCGGGTGCCGGTGAGTATTGTGAAAATGCGGTGGTGGAGAGCATGAGGGTAAGGTGCAAAAGCCATAGGGCATTTGGGAGGTGAACAAAAGCCATGGGTGAGAGTGCAGTGAGTTGGCCTAATAGTGTGGTGTATTTATAGGGGTTTTGTGTGGGTTTTCTATTAGCAATATTATTTCTTGAATATTTTTTTGGTTTAAATTTTTTTATTGCAATAGCACGGGTTACTATTTAAAACCGTGCATGAACTAGGGTTTGCTGATTTTGCGTGCATGCTGTCTGGTTGGCATGCGTAAATGGGATATCATGATTGTGGCCTTTCATGTTCACATGTTGATGGAATAAGCTCGGTTAATTGAAAGAGTATGTGACGCTTGCATACAAGTAGTCGTATTGATTGAAAAATATGCCAATATGATTGAATTAGAGATTGGATACATAATTTTTTTCTGTTTTTGTTCGTCTAGTCATGATTTATCCCATTTAGAGTGAAAATAAAACAAAATATTTATTATAAAAAAATACTATTCATTTTTGCTCAAAGAATTTCTCTACAAATGAAAAATTAAAAGTATTCATTGTAATATATTTTCTTACAAAAATTATTGCATTTTTACTCACAAAACTATTAATTTTATCAATAAATATATTATTAATTTTTTATCAGGTCAGTTTTATTCAATGTATTTTCATCTCATATTTATTCGCAATATCAAATTTATTGCGTTGTTTTCAAATTATTTTTAACCTTATGCGTTGCACTTTTTCAGACAAGGCAACTTTTATTTTTATTTTAAAAATATATTTTATATCCATTCGCACAAGTTTGAACTTCCGAAACGCCTCAAAATTTAAGTTATTATTATCATAAGATTGATATCCTTGGGGTTATTATGTTATTTTAGCTGTTTTATTGATATTTGAAACTAGAAAGAACAATGTTCGTGTATAAGTTATAGGGTTTTCTTTGTCACCTTTCCATTTAGGAAAAAATCTTCTGTTTTTAGGTTATTCATAACATTTTGGGAAAACAGTGAGGCGAAAAATGATACAGTTATAGAAAGCCAAGATTTCGATTTGAGAAGACTTAATTAAAATTTTAAAAACAACATTGGGAATGGAGCTACAAATAAATAGGGTGATGAATATTTAATGTGTCACGTGAAAGAGTAGATCCCGCCAATTTTCTTGGCTTTGTTACCTCTTCAATTATTTTAAGTTCAAGAAAACCATTGACTTTGCTGTTTTTGGAATACTACTAGTATTCGACCTGTGCAAATGCACAGATATAAATAAATTATTGTGAGTCTGTACATATAATGATTAATTATTTTTCTTTCACTTTTTTGCAGACCAAATTTACAATTAAAAGAGTTCGAATATTTTTTTTTTTAAATTACGTTTATCTGATTGGATGTAATGTATATTTTGGTACGTCTTTTATTTGTGAATTATTTATTATTTATTTAGGAATTTCAAATATATTTTTTATTTAAAAAAAATTAAATGTAACAACAATAATAACATCTAATCACATTATACGGTCAACACATTATATGGTCAACTGTCATTAATCAAAAGTTTAAAATGATTTTTGTAATTTTGAAGTGATGAGTATTAATTATTTAATGATTAAATGAAAGATTAAATACATCAAAATGTAACGGTTTTTGGAGGAAAAATTGTTAAATTGCCACATAGGTAAAATTAAATAGGTTTTATTAAATTCTATTAGCTAGTAATTATATATATATAGATATGACAGTTCTCAGATAATAGTAATCTTAGATATAATAAAACTGGCATGAATTTTAATTATCTAATTGGTGAAAAACAGTTGGATAAATCAAACTTATATATTTTTTTAATCATATAATGTGATATTTTCAAAAGGAAATTGATTTATTGTTTAGAGCATCCGCATCGCAAGTTTAATTTATTTTGCCCGTTAAAACGCTCTAGGGGGCCATTAACACGGATGCAATGCATCCATTAAAGAGCGGGCCTTATTTGCCTTTCATTGAGCTGAACGGCAATTTCTTTTCTTTCTTTTTTATTTTTTTGTTTTAAATTTGTTAATTATTTAAATTATTTTTTTTATATTTAATTCAGTTTTTATCTATATCATACTTTTTAATATTGATAAATTCAAGTTTTTTCTATTATCACATTTCTCAATATTTATCAAAAATTTACATCATCAACTTCGTTCCGACTTAACTGAACATATTTGAATTCATTTTGCCACCAACTAAAAAAATATTTTTTTAATTCTGCAATTTTTTTTTTTCTTTTGTAATCTTAATTTAAGTTATTTTGGTCTTATTCTTTTATTTTTATGCATTTAAAATTTATTATTATAATTTAAAAATATAAATTTTTTATCTTTTATTAAAAATAGAATAATAAAATTTATATTGAATTAATGGAAAATAGGCCCATATATATGTATTTAAATGAATGGATAGGAATGTGAGTGATTGTTTAAATGGAAAGATGTTTAGTGTAATGATGAGATGTGGACATGAGGTGGAAGAAAGAGAGTATAAATTGTGAATGAATGAGTGGAGTGGAATGTGATGCCCTTAGTGAAGTGAAGTAATAGATTTATAAGTTTGTTTAGAGGTTGTAGTTGATAACTTATGAATAATAGTTATTAACTAGCTGATAAAATAAAAGTGTTTGGTAAAATTAGTTGATAAGTCAACTAAAATAAAAATTTCCATTGAGTATTTTTGAAGATCTACATAAAAAAAAAAAAAAAGTTTATGAGATAAGGTTATTTACACCAAACCAATTGAACAAAAGTTGTGTTTAATAAACTTAGCTGAAAATATAGTTGATAGTAGGGGTGTAAAAGTGCCAATTCAAGCTCGAGCCCTTAATGATCCGAACTCGGCTCTGCTTGTTAACTTAACGAGCTTATAATCGAGCTCGAGCTCATCTCGTCATCTATCAATATTAACGAGTCGAGCTCGAGGCTTAACGAGCCAAAATCGAGCAAAACTAAAGAAAAATACATAAAAATCATCGTTTACCTTATCAAGTCGAATCAAGGCGAGCTTGGCTCGTTAACTGAACAAGTTTTAAATGAGTTCGAAGTTGGCTCATTTATCAAACGAGTCGAGACGAGCCCAAGCCTTAACGAGTAGAGTAGATGATGGAGATAAGGATGTTTAGAATATTTAATTTAATTATTTGTTTTCATCTTTATTATTATTATTAGTGGTATTATAGATTTGTTAGGAAACTTATTTATTTATTATTTTATTAGAATTTTTGTCTTGTTGGACAATTTAGTATTAGAGTTTTAGGAGCCTTATTTAAAGGACTCCTCCTCTTTTGTGTTATTCGGTTGATTTTTGAATAAAATAAGAATTTATTGAGTTTTGTGAGTTTTACCGAGAGAGAATCTCGTTTATTCTTGACATTCGTACGCTTCCCTACATCAGTTGGCATCAGAAGTAAGTATGATTCACGATGCTGTCGCGAAGACAAAATACTGCAAACGACAGGCGTGTCACTGCCATCTATAACATGAGCCGTCGAACCAAGTGGTTTGGCCGTCGGCTCGAGACGATGTATAGTCAGATTGCAGATTTGTCCGCGGAATCAGTGACATACGTCTAACTATCCGTACCATGGTTCGGGACAAGCAAACGAACCGCGAGGATGCCCGTCAGCGTAGGCCACTACTGATGCACAGCGAGGACGACGGCGAAGAGACGTTGTCGGAGGTCAACCCCTTCGGCTTCCGACAGACGCAACAAAACGACGATCGACGTTGGAACTCATCGTTCAAATTCGAAATCCCCGAATTTTCAGGGGCCTTTGTGAACGCACAAGGGTCGACCGAATATGAGGGTCCGCCTCGTTTTGATGACGAGAGGTAGACCGAATATACGGGTCCACCTATTTTTTATGTCGAGGGGTCGACCGATTATGAGGGTCTACCCGTTTTCTGTGAGGAGCCACATGTGGCGTCGATAGAGAACAAGTACCATGTGGTTGTAGAATCATTTGTGAGGTCAAAGGTTGTACCTGGAATGGATGTTTTCAATGAACTGGAAGATGGATTTTCATGGTCTTTTATTCAACAAGCAAATGTGTCTGATAACTCGCATCGTGGGCCCAAAAAGTGCAAAGTGCAACAAACCATTTACTTTGGGTCATTGAGTATGTAGGAATCTTTTGGGAGCTTGGAGAGTCGCTGTCATAGATTTTTTGCTTGTGAGTACCAAGGTCACGGCCCGTAAAATTGGCCTGGTCAGAATTGTGGAGTAGTTGAAGACCAAATTTCTTCGAATTCGAGGGCGAATAATTTTCGACTGGGGGAGAATGATGGAGATAAGGATGTTTAGAATATTTAATTTAATTATTTATTTCCTTCTTTATTATTATTAATAGTGGTATTAGAGATTTGTTAGGAAATTTATTTATTTATTACTTTGTTATGATTCGTGTCTTGTTGGACAAGTTAGTATTAGGGTTTAAGGAGCCTTATTTAAAAGACTCCTCCTCTTTTGAGTTATTCGGTTGATTTTTGAATAAAATAAAAATTAATTGAGTTTTGTGAGTTTTACCGAGAGAGTATCTCGTTTATCCTTCTCATTCGTACGCTTCCCTGCATCAGCTCACAAGCGGCTCATTAATTTAACAGCTCTAGCTAGTAGTTGATAAATTAGTTAATAGTTTATAAATAAATTTTAGAGTTATAATTGATAGTTTATGGCTGGTGGTTGAAAACCCCGTTGATATAATAAAAATGTTTCATAAAAATTGGGTTAGTTAGAATGAAAATTTCTATGAGCTTTTAAAAAATCTACCTAAAAAAAATTATGAGATAAGTTTAAATTTTTTACAAATCTCATCAAGCTTATTTAAAAACACGAAGCTTATAAAATAACTAAATACGTTATAAACTAATTTATGATGTTTATTGATTATTTTGGAATATTGATCTTTTCGGTCAGTAAATTTTGTATTTATTAAGTAAAAATAGAAGCCTGAGCATTTCCTTGGATTCTAATTCAATAAATTTTTCCACTTAAAAACCTTAAAAACTATCTAATTATTTTATGACCGTTAAATAATAT